TTAAGCCAACATTTTTTATTTCTCATAAAAACCTTTAGGGTACGAACAAAGTCAATTCTTCTGTGTGGCCCTTTCATCTTGTCTGGGGTAAATGTTAATGTTGCTTTTTACAATTTACAACTTCATTAACGCTTCGTAAGATCGCACCGAGTCATAAAAATTCATTCATGAATCGGAAAATATTTTGGATATATTTTGCTTGCTCCCCCATGTCTTGTATTCTTTGGCCGAAAAATGCCGCATCATGATCAAGATGCCGGGATGAATGAATCAGAAACTGAAGCATAAATCAGAAACACAGAAAGTAGAAACAAATTGCTATCAGTTGGGATTCAGTCTCCCCTTTTATGCAGCATCATTTCCATGCCCCATGCGGCATTATCCTGTGGCCCAAAACGTTGCCAATGCGCCGGCCCGAGGTGTCGGCTGTAAGCTAATTGGAAGCGTGTTCAAAGGTGCCGCCAACAAATTAAGTATGAGTTACCAACTTAGCTTTATATCTCTATCGCTCACGCACACATGCCCAACGAGCGGCACATAGATGTAGATACCCATACTCTTGGTAGGAAGAGATGCGGACGTTGGGCGAGACTATTGGCCTCTTGTGGGTTTCTCGGTTGCTCGCTTGCTCGCTTGCTCGGTTTCTCCAAACTGGTTCTGGCCCAGCTCTCGCAACTAAGTTGTAATTGTAGTCCTTTGATTGCATTTGTGTGCAAAGCTGAATTGTTTACATTTATCATAATCAGCACTCCAGTCGTTTGTAACCGCCGCGAGGGTAACTTTTCATCTTTTGGCAACGCGGCGCCAGTTAAACTGGAACTCTGGCTTCGAGATGCAGATGCATCTGGATCCCAGTCTGGCACTTGATGTAGGTCATTCGTCGGGCTTGCCTCTGAGTTTCTGTTTGCGAGTACTTGATTGCCTGACAGAGGAAATGTTGAGTAATTTCTGACAATCTGACTGAGCAGGGAAGGCAACAAGGAAAGGAAAGTCGAGTTGTGGACTTGTTCCCTCAATTAACCAAAGTGTTCAAAGTTCGCGTTCCGGCTTAGACTAGATTTTATTAGATTTGTTTTTCGATTTTTATAGAATTAAAAGCGTAATTCTGAACTTTTTTTTATATTTTTATTATTTCTAGGGGAGCTATATGATATAGTAGTCCGATTTAGATGCAATTTTAACCGTATAATTCTGAAATATTTAATTAGAAGTAATATGTCGAAGAACTAAAAAAAATTTAAAAGAAATTCCTATGGGAGTTATTATGCTATAGTCGTCCGATCCGGCTCGTTCCGACTTATGTATTACCTGAAATAGAAAGAAAACTTTTGGGAAAGTTTCATGCAGATAGCTTTAAAACTGAGAGACTAGTTTGCGTAGAAACGGACGGACAGACGGACGGACAGACGGACATGGCTAGATCAACTCTCCTAGTGATGCTGATCAAGAATATATATACTTTATAGGGTCGGAAACGTCTCCTTCACTGCGTTGCAAACTTCTGACTGAAATTATAATACCCTCTGCATGGGTATTAAAAGGTAGAGACACAAATAAGCTGAAGAAAAAACATCATAATAAAGAAAAAGAAGAAAAATTGTATGGTGCGTCCCTAAATTTATTTTATAACCAAAAAAAAATGTTTTAGTGTAACTTTACAAATAGGAAAAAAAGTGTTTTTAATTAAAGCCATTTCTTTTTTATTTTGAATGTTTTTTAGTGTTTTGTACCAGCTACCGATTTATTATTTACCAATATACGATCATAAAACTTAGAAATTCTCAAAGCCGTTCAAATTCGTTTTTTTGTTGTTTCTGTGAACCCAAAAAGCCAATAGGCTTAATGAAAATTTGACCTTAGATACTGAGCTGGCCCACTTGAGATTTTTACCTCTCGAGAATATGCATCACGAAAATAAAAATTATAATATAATAAGACGTGTAAGATAAATAATAAGATGTACTAGAATTAATTGAACACGACAATCCGAAATTATATACCGCTGCAAATACAACAAAATGAACTGTTATTTAACAATACTATTTTTCGTTTTTAATAGGTATATGCTAAAGAACAAAAAGTTAAATCGATTTTCCGAAAACTTTTTTGGTCGTTGTAATGGCAACTCAATGGTAAAGTTCCATTTTTCTTTTTTATCAGGGTATCCAACCGGTTTCGTAACCCTTATCCCTAACACGTACGCCTGAATCAAAACCGTAACAGTATCTGAAACCGGAAGTTTACATAAGTCGTAAAACGTCTTAACCATTTGATAGGTCACATCCTGTAAATGCTTTTTTTTGTAGAGAATTGTTTTTTGCTAAAATATCGTTAAAAATAAAAAGATATTATGTTCATTCCTTCGACAAAGTCGAAAATTAACGTGAACGTACTTAGTGTAAATATTATTGTCGATTAGTAAAAATATTAATATTTTGTTTATATGAAGTTGTAAAGTAAGTTGTTAGTAAATCAGTACAAGTAAAATTCAAAGCTACTTCGCACATTCTACCTAGTCAATATTTTTTTTGCATTAATAGATAGTTTGTTAAAAATACCTTTCTTCATTGTCTGAAGGCTTGTATTACAATTATTACAATATTATTTCCTTTCCAATTAAGATTATGAGTTTACCCAAATTCAACTACTAATTCTATTAACAGGGCAATGATTTCCCTACTTACCGCAATTATGGTAACAGCGATTTTACTTGTAAATAGCCCCATTAAACTAAGTTGTAGACTCATAAGGCGCTTCCACTTACTGTGCGGTAGGTTCATTAGTCATTTTAGTTGATTCGATTAATGGCTTTCGACATTTCGACTTCTATTTGTTTCACGGAAGTGCTCACAGGTTTTCCCATAATTAGAGTCCGCCTCAGTATACCTGTATTTGCCCAGCAAATTTTCTCAGCTAATAAAACAAATGCCACCGGTAATAGCATAGTAATTTGTACTGCAACACAATTTAATTAATGGTGTTCGACGGCTGTTTCGCCGGATCACTTTCTAAGCGCACTAATATTGTCCAAGACTCAGTAATCAGAAGATTTTATGGACTCTCAAAATTTCTGGATCTCGGCGCATGCGTTGCATTGTCACACGTTTGTAAATGAAAATAAATTGCTTTTAGTCGAGTTTCGGATATGAATCGTCGATCTGCATCTCATCCATATGCACGAGGCTTTTCCCATCTAGTTTACGAACTGTGAGAGACTTGGTTGGACCAGTTAGTCGGATCGAATCGGTATCGGGCATCATTAGCAGCTGAATTGATAGCTTGATTATTCAAATGATTAACAAACGATCGGCTGCTGGCCAAGTTCGTTGGGTTCGTTTGAGAGAGTCCAAGTCGAGACCAAGATTTATACCGCACTTCAGTCGCGGAGAGCTCGCAGGTCATCTTCTTGGTTTCGGATTGAAAAATGTATGCGCCCCTGGCGATGATGGGCCACCTTTGAACTTTGCCGCAAACGGTAGCCACAGAGAAGTCGGCTTCCAGTTGGGAATTCATAAAAATGATTGCTTCGAAAATTAATACATATCGAAATAATTTCGATTAAATTTTTTATGGAAATTAGCGCCGTGCACAAATCTGCAAAGCGAGTCTTCTCACCACTCGACTTTGCACACTTAAAAGTGCTGTGGTTTTCGGCTTGAATGTTTTGTTCATCTCGTTTTCGTTCGTGGCAAGTGATTAAATTAATAATTAATTAGTTTGAATTTTTAAATAACGGTTGTAAATAATCATTAATAAAAATTGAAAAAAATTTCTTTTATTAAAGACTCACCGGCAGGCAGCAAAGTACGTAGCAACATCATCAAGATGGATCGGCAGCAAAATATTCAAATTGGAACGGGGATCCAGATACACAAACATTTGAATTTAACTTACCGACCCAGTCCAAATGGAAGCTCTCGTTGGGACTTGAGCATTGTTTGTTTAAATATTCACAAATTTATTGACAACAATTTGCGGTATTTTGTATCTTCCTTTGTTCGCCTCAAATTATTAATTGGGGTGAAACAGATTTCGATTTTTTAACGCTAATTGGTTGGAGAAATACAGTATTTCAAACATTTTTAATTTGATGGAAATTTAATAATGTAATTAAATCACCATCAGCTTGTGACCATAATCTACAAAAATATGTATAAGAATATTCTGTTAACTTGATTCTGAAAGCTTTAAATTAAATAAAAAAAACTAATAAATGGAAGAGTCGCTCAGTAAAAAATCAGCTACAGAAACTGTTAATAGAGATTCGTTTGAATATTTTATTGATGCAGTAATTTACTTGTTTTGAAATATGTTAGAAATTATTTAAAAACAGCTCAGTAATAATTTTTTTAAACTTATTGAGAGACGGACTTGGCTAGATCAACTCGCCTGATGATGACAAATAAACATATATATACTATCTATTACATACCTTAATTAATTAATTTGGATGTTATTCGCAATTAAGTTTGGTTATGACGTTACTGTATATTTGAAAAGAGAGGGAGAGAGGGCGTTCATGAATGTAGAGCAGCGGAGAGCACAAAGACTAATAAAACTCGAACTTAATTTGTGTGAGTAATTTCCACGAGGAAACTAGTCAATGTATGTGTGCCTACAGCAGTTTTATACTGTTCGTGTGTGCTCTGCCGCTGCTCTGCATAAAATAGGTGCTGCTCGCTCTTTGCCTGTAGTGTTGTCAATGGAGTTAGCAGATGGCGCCAGCAATAACCCGAATGTTTTCTGGGCGAATTTATTTCGAAATTTGTTAGCGGTTGTTAGTAACGGGTATCTTATATTCGGGGAACTCGACTACAGCGTTCCCCCTTGTTTTAATTATTTTTTTAATCTGTCACGAAAATTTTAATATCTCTTTATGGACATTTATGGTGGCTCTTAAAAGAGCCGATTGGCGTGGATTTTTAGCGTTGCGATCCTGGTTTTGGAGCCGACGCCTTGTGCTGGCTGGTTCCATTTTCATTTCCGTATTGGGTTTTGATTGTTATGGCTTGCTTATGGGCCGTAGTAAAGGCCTTTGTCCTGGCTAGTTTATCTCCATTTGGGGTTGGCAGTGAATATTGCCTTTGCCCACTTCAATTTGGCGTTAGAATCTATGAAGGATGTCCTTAAACTTCCTTTGGCCGTGTAATGCTCTGGGAAACTGTGTTGGTTGAAAACCAACTTTCCAACTTTCCAACTTCCCCGGCACTCAGCTCAAAATTAAACAAAATACTAGACTTCTCCTTGCTTACTTTCTGTACCAATTATTAGGTTGCCTTGGCGGTTCCGTGCGCACCTGTATACGCTCTCATTTGGGTGGTGCCCCTCCCATTGGAACGGATCCTGGCACCGGAACCACCATTCCTGCAGCAGCTGCTGCGGCGGCCAGTCCCACCATATCCGCTTCGTGCATGGGTTTCTTCTTCAGGATGCTCAGATCGTTTACATTTTCCAAAAATGATTTGTGGGCGGAGAAGACCTTGACGCTATCAAAGTCCTTCTTTAGCTCCTCGATATCACGCTTCTGCTTGGCCCTGCGGTTTTGGAACCAGGTAATAACCTGGGCATTTGACAATCCCAAGGAGGCAGCGATCTCGTCGCGATCAGCTGGCGAGAGGTACTTCTGGTAGAGAAATCGCTTTTCCAGCTCAAAGATCTGGTGATTGGTAAAGGCGGTGCGGGACTTGCGCTTCTTCTTTGGCTGCGGCCGATTCGAGAAGATGTCCAAATGAGATTTGTCTAAAATTAAACAAAAAATTCCGATGGTTTTCAATCTTTTTTCAAAATAGTTTTAAGATTAAACTAAGTTAATTTATAAAACTTTTAAGATACTGTGTAAACATATTAGGTATGTCGTACAAGAGATTTTCTAATTGTGAAGTGTGTGTCTAATTGTGTAAGTGATTACTAAATTATATTCCTATTTGTCTTAATTTTTTTAGAAACATTTTCCTTAAATAGCTCGCAGTATTTACTTGGTCACTCCAAGTCTGGCTAGTCTTACGACTAATTCCGAGATACCTGGCAACCGGTTGCTAACAAACGAATTTGCCATTGGTTTTTTTTAAAATGCCAAGCCGGCATTTAAATCGTGTTGATTTAAACGCCGTGATTGATATATTTTATGAATGCAAGCGCAATTGCAGTTACGATTCTCAGATTTCAGATCGCAGAGCTCAGCTCTCGACTTGGTGTGTATAATTTCGAGTTGATTGATTGCGCGAGTTGTGGGCGTTCATGGGCTTGGTGAGTCTCATGACGCTCGCAGCTTCCTTAGCCTTTTGCAAGGCAGCTGCTCATTTGTCTTGTTTGTAGTGTGATTTATAATAATTATTGACACCTACATATCAGTATTAAGTGGTACACGTAGCTATGGCTTGATTAATGAGCCACTGACCCGTACTTAAAGCGCTGATTGAGCTTGCATAACGTTTCCTGGTGCAAAATACAAAATACATGGGGTGCCATGAAAGCGATCGGAGATCAGCGTTCAGGTCGGTTTCATCAGCATAAATATTTATATATTGAATAGTGGCCAACTAGTTCGCCTGGGACTGGCTTCACACTCATTTCGATTGCTTGTCAAACAAACTAGATCGACATTAAAAACTAATTAAATGCCTTCCAACCGAATGATAACGAAGTCCCAAGAGTGTGTGGGTATTTATATTCGAAATGCATAATTTGGTCATTTGTCGTGTCGAGTCCGTTTTGTAACCCAAAACCCATAAGGCACTTGACTGCCGGCTCCATTTCTCCGAGCCTTTTTCCCTCTTTCTTTGCAGCTATTTTGTATTAGTTTTTATCGGGGCTTCATTAAGTAATTTCCATTACTTATCTCTGGAGAAAAGGAAATGAGCAGGCCACTTGAATATCCTTTTTCCCCGACCAGGTGTCCACTTACAGGGCATAAATAACGCCCTTAGTTAGGGGGAGTTTTGTTTTGGTCGTATTAGTCAGGGTTACATGCCCAATATGTTTAAGAATTCTAAGGTAATGTGATCCATTTTCGAGGAACCTGCAAAGCAACAGTTGGCCAGAGGGAATTTATGTTATAATTTGGCGCGAGTACTGGGAATTGCAATTAGGAATTGGCCAGCCAAGGCGACACAACGTCTGGCATTTATTTTCCGCAGAAAAAATAAAAATAAGTTGAAGAAAAATCTTCATTGTCTTGCAATGTGAAAACATCTTTAATATAGTGTGAGAGATATTAAGGGCCTTCTCATAAATTAATGGAGTCCCTTATCCACGCAGCTGCCGCCTATCGTTCTATACCGACTTCATCCAATGAACTGTTGATAGACAAACGACGCCTCTGAAGTTAAAAATTCAGAAAGATCTGTCGTAAATATTTCGTCTTTGTGTTATACAATCCATGATAAGTAATATGTGGTTTTGTCAACTTAATACTCGAAGATCAGCCTTATACAATGACCGAGTGTCGCCGCTAATCGCTAATTCAATGTATTTTAAAACATGTTTGCCACTATTAGAGCCGGGGCTATAAGTTTGTCAGCCATTAATTTTGAGTAGCAACAAGAGAAACGGCATGTTAATTGTTCGGTGAGGAGCCGCAACAGCAAAACTCGATTAGGTAATGCACCAGCCAGCTAATTGTTGCTAATCGCTCCTGAATCGACACGACTACACAAATATACTAATGCGGACGGTCCGGACTATTAGGCATTAATTGCCATGAAATCACAGTCAGGTTACTGGCGGAGTGCGGGGTGCACCAAAACGCCCACAAAATGCCCTCGGATAAGAATCAATTTGATCTGTGTGACGCTAGTCACCACAAGCAGTCAATGGATTACCATGCATCCAAAGTTGAAGAACAAAATTCTTACGCTCCCTGAGTGAATGGTATTTTATTGAACGTTTGCTCAATTTGTTTCTGTCTGACACTGGCGCATGCTGCCAATTAATTGAAAGCCCGAAATCGAATTGCTTGAGGAATTTACATAACAAAAGATTCTAAAAGGGGGTCGCGGGGAATTGAGATCATTTATTTCAATTAAACGAAATACGAATTCGATGATTGATAAATGGCAAACATCAAAATAAGCTTAATATTCTGGTGACCAATTTCAAATCGATAATAAATTAGAAGCTTTATTTCTAGTTAAGAAATCACGTAAATGCATTACCGAAATTACTACTGTATCGTTAGAAGGGGATCTTAAATGATCATACAAAAATGTATGTTCCTAAATAAGTAAAAATAATAATAAAGTGTGTGGCAGCAAATTTCAATCTGAAAACTATAATCCTGTCAGTATGAAAACATTTTATAATGAAAACATATCAAAAAGTATCTGTTTCCAAGGAAGAAGTGTTTTCGACCACCTAAACTAATTGATATTGGACATCTATTTCCGGGATGCTTACCTTGCGACTCGTCAAAGTCCTTGGTAGTCATCTGGAAAAGTGCATCCAGTGGAGTCCCGTTGGCCTTGGCCTTGGCAACGGCGGCCGCATTGCTGGCCCCACTAGACCCTCCTCCAGATCCGGCCGCTCCTTGCGACGGACTGGATGCAGTGGTGGCTCCGCTGGTTCCGGCCTGAGCCGACGACTGCGGGCTGTGGCTCCGGCGGACACTGGCAGCGGATGCGGCAGCAGCGGCTACCGAGTCCCTGGCAATCTCCGGCGAACAGCAGTCGCTGGCCGCCGAACTAGAGCGGTCGGAGCCACTCTCCGACGGAATGATATCCATGCCCATGTGCCGCAGCAGCTGGGCCTGGGCGTTAAAGTGCTCCTGCAACTGGCGATGGTAATCTAGGGCCAGGCGCTGCTCGTAGTGCAGCAGGGCGGTGGGGATGAAGGGGCGGACGGGCATGGCCGGACCCAGGAGGTGATCCCACGGCCGGACAATCTGTCCGCCGGGCAGCAGCATCGCAGCAGCAGCAGCCGGATGGACATCTAGGGGTTCCGTACGAGGCTGAAGCAATCCGGATGAGGCCACGGGCCGGGAGGCGGGTGGAGCCAGAAGATTCGTATTGGGAGGTGGCGAAACGGACTCCTCGCGCTGCTTCTCCGAGTGACCCAGGATATCCGCAATGGAGAAACTCTTGACCCCTTCGATGGCCGACTTGGTGGTGTTGGTTTGCGGCTCTGAAACTGTTGCCGGCGGACTGGGCGTGTGCTCACGTGGCTCTGAGGAGGACGAGGACATGCGCAAACGCTTCAGCGGCTGGAAGTAGTCCTCCGGCAGATTGCCGACGGCACTTCGGCCGAGTCCAGAGGCTGCTGCAGCAGCTGCTGCGGCGGCCGCAGCGTGGTGCTGCATCAGCAGTTGCTGCTGTTGCAGCAGATCGATGGTGCTGGCCCGCGGATGCTGCAGCTGGTGCGTATGTTGCTGGGTGGGCAGCGGGCTGGGGGCTCCGCCCACAGAGATTTCGGATTCGGCGGGACTGGCCGGACGCATGGTTGGAGGGCAGAGCATTTAGGTTTTGGGTTTGCTGAAACACTTTTCTTCCCGGGAGTTTGGCCTAGTCAAGAAGCACTAAACTGTTTTTTAGACGGCTTTATCACTGCTCGAGCAAGTGGTTACTGACGTTCGGAGCCAGACGATCGACTCTGGGCAAGCAAGCCTTTTATTTGTATATTGTAATTTTTCTCTGATTAGTTAGCACTAATGGTTCGACACCACGACGCTGATCCAATGGCGTAGGACCTCTCAACTCGACGCTCGAAACTAGATTGAAGATTGGTTTGCTAACTAGACACGTCGATATTTCTTCAGTTCTTTTGCTGCCGCTGCTCTCTGCCGCCTCTTCTCACCCGCTTCTCTCTTTCTCTTGCTCTCCCGCTCGCTAACGCCTGCTTAGCATCGTTCGCTCTCCCTCCCTCAACCAAGTTATAGCTGCGCTCTCTTCGCGAGAGCAAAAACCTGTTCTGGGCAGAGCGAGACACCACTATGTGCTTGCCATCTCCCTTTTCTCAGCTCTCAGCACCAATCGGCTATAGCAACAAAAAAATTGCAATGGTGGCGTATACGTAACGGTAATTATGGCGTTCATCATGCGACTGGTGAGCGAAAGGGATGGCTGGCGGGTGTAAGCGAGACGGGCGCTCCTCAGCTTGTAACGAGACTGTATTTAGTATTTTAGTCGCTGCAAAGTTTACACAACTCCAAACCCGTCGACAGTGACGCTGGCAGCGGCAGAGGGGTCTAAAAACCCCTCACCACACTCCCCGCACAGTTAGCATTAATGACGGCGACCTCCAGGCAGCTCGCGTTTAATTGTCAAACGTTTGCAATTAATTTGCAGTAAGAATAACGAACAATTAATTTGGAGGAAAACAAAAAAGGAGAAATAAAAAATGCGCATAAATTTGAAGACATTCGGTATTTAATTTGAGTCTAAGAATGGAAATGAGGACAGTTTCAAAAGAATATTTTTTTATTCTTAGCTGACATTGGTTACTAGCCAGATTGGTTTATTAAAACTAATTGCTTGGATAGCTTGCTTATTAACCAACAGTTTGTTGGATGTGGACTAATCCAATTAAGACATATTTTTTTACATTTCAGAAAAAATAACGCCGTTAAACTAATTTAAACAAATTTTCTATCTTAAGAAAAATTCTCAAAAAATTCAAGGCATTGTACCAAAACTTCAAAGCAACGCCCCTTAAAATGTAAGTCAACGCCCCATGAAAAATTAGTTCTTCTTAAATTAATATTTTTTTTAACTGCGGATAAATTGTATTTGTTGGTGCCTATCTCATGAGCTTTTAAAAAATATTATTATTATTAACATGTTTTTAAACTTACACGCAAGTAAATCATAATTATAACGTTTTCAAGAGTATTTAGTTTTTGAAATAGCTGCAAGGGTATATGAACTTCGTCTTGCTGAAGTTTGCTTCCTTTCTTGTTAATTAATCAAAAAGAATTTTTTAAAAATATTACAAAATATAAAAGTTTAATTTTAAAAAATTGTTTGTTTAATATTATTATTTTTCTTATGGGAGCTTTATGTTATAGTCGTCCGATATTGATGAAATTTAAACCGTAATTCTGAAATATTTAACCATTACTATATCTCAAAGAACTAAATAAAAAAATTAAAAAACACCAAAGTTATAATTTTTTATTTTTTTTGGTTGTTCCTATGGGAGCAATATGCTATAGTCGTCCGACCCGCTCGTTCCGACAATAGAAAGACAACTTATGGGAACGTTTCATGAAGATAGCTTTAAAACTGAGAGACTAGTAGAAACGGACGGACAGACGGACGGACAGACGGACGGACAGACGGTCGGACAGACGGACGGACAGACGGACGGACAGACGGACATGGCTAGATCGACTCTCCTAGTGATGCTGATCAAGAATATATATACAGGCTCGGAGATGTCTCCTTCACTGCAGTGCAAACTTCTGTCTGAAATTATAATACCCTCTGGAAGGGTATAAAAAGGCAGTGTGACCGTGCATTTATTACTAAAGAAATCTCAAGCAGCATACAGTTGTCTCTGTCTCAGAGCTTCAATGAATTCGTCAATGAATACGGCGAACAATGTAATGTCATACCCGTATAACCACCTAATGCATACATTGTGTTGTTATCGAAATGTTTCACTGAAATGGTTTGAAAACAGCTAGAAATTTTTGAGGTACAATAGACTACTTTTAATAGGGCTATTGGCCTAAAAATGTAGTCCATGTTTAACCTTAAAAGTAGGAAAATAGTCCATATTTTGAGAGTTGAAGTAATGCGATACCTAAAGCAGATATTTTAGTCCATATTGAACTTTTTGGGTAATGCATAGCCGTAAAATAAATCTACTATTTCTCTGGGTGTATGTATATTAGCTTTAAATATCAAATTGTCATATAACGCTTTGCAATAATGTGCAGGCAAACAGTTCGATAGTTTCGATAGTGCAATCGATTGTTTTACCAACCTGTTCTTCTCAGTTACATTATTTAAACATTTTGGTGACATTTAAACCGTTAACCGAGTATATATTTGGGATTTTTGTTTTGCAGTAAATCGGCATATTTACAATAAAAAAATAACACACATTTAAGGTTCCTACAATTACAAGTCTCTGATCCCTGCCGGTCGACATCGAGCCAAATTACCATTGTCTTAGACAACTTATAGGGAATTGCTGACACCCAAGCCCCCAACAAACATCACCAAATCCTTTTAACTGAAACAAATGTGAATTGTTGCAACAAACAGCCAAAGACAAAGGAGAAAAAAGTAGCAGTAAACGGGAGAGTTTTCGGCAGCACAAAGGCGTCAAGGCGTCTGAAAACAAAAGGTCAAAGTCTATTAACGAAAAATCGAAAATCGAAACCAATTCCCGACGCAGCAGGATGCTAAACGAGAACGGAATCGACGTCGACCACCGCAGGCTCAGTGCCCGACTTTAGCCGCAGTTGGTCTTGGGTTCGGATCCTATCCTCGACCCTTTTCGAAGCCCAAAATACTACCTGATGATCCCGGAGAGCGGCTGTTGATAAGGACTAATCACACAAATATTTGAGCATTCGGCTTGTGATTGAGTCTCGCCGCGAGCGGTGCGTTTGATTCCCCGCATTTAGCGCTTCTGTATTTTTATAATTCTAATTTCTTCTGTCTATTTCCTCTTTGTTCTCGGCAGCTATTAGTGTATCTATTAGATACGTTCGCGATGGATGCGTGGGAAAAGCCGCCGTGTTAATTATGCCAGGACCTTGAGCGAATGATTCCTTTGGGAGAAAGTCAATTTACACCTGTACCCCCTCTCCGAATTTTCATCTGTGTGTGGCTCCATTCACACGCTGATAAACTCCTGCGGTGAAAGTGCATGGAAAGGGTTCATTAATATTCAAATTTAAATGCAGGGTGACGATTTCATTGATTTATCGGTTCCATGGCAGCTGTTCGATAATTGTGGACAAAACAGCTGGACCAAATGCCGGAAACTCTAAATTTTCAGTTTCTTAGATCTTAGATTCAATCTAGATATGTCATCTTTCTGACAACGATTTAAGCTAGAGTTTGTCTTAAACTTCGAATTATGCAATGAATATTGGAAAACAATCTATACCATTGAAAATATCCAGTTAACTTTATAAACTCCATAAGGCCTTAGAAGCTATTTTTTAAAAAGCAAAAAGTTCAAATGTTTTATTGTTTAAGATTAGGATAAGGAACACTAAAAATGTATATTTAATACCAAAAACTACCAAAATATTCTCTGCAAATTTCATATTTTAAATATAAGAATGGAGTCGTAATAAAAGACCACAAAAATTTCTGAGAACACCGGCCAATGAATTTGTTTCGGTAAATGGAAATTAGAATTTATAAAAACTTAAGATAATAAACAAGAGAGGAAGCAGCCTTCGGCAAGCCGAAGTTTATATAGCCTAGTTTGCACAAATAAAACATCTACAAAACATATAAATTTCAAATTATATGAGAACCGAATAAAACCCATTCAAGCTAGGATGATTTTTACCCCAATTACTCGATCATTTCTATGGCAGCTATATAAAATCGTTTTCCGTCTTTAATAAAATTAAAGACGTAATTCTGAACTATCAAATTATTACTATGCCCCTATTGCCCCTTGTGTGGCAAGTTCCAAATTAAAATAAAAGTAGTTTAATTATAGTTTTGGGGTTTTATTTTAACATTTCCCAACTTTTGTTATTTTTTCGTTGTTTTATTATGCTAGTATCTAAAACCGTTTGTAAATATTGTTTAAATTGAAGAAAATATACTTGGAATACCCTCCCATTGGTTGAGAATACTTGTACACTCTTCAGGGAGTGCGAGCGGTCGCGAGTTCGAAACGAGGTCGAGGTAAGAGTCTTGCTAAATAAAATTTGTCTGTTGACTACAATTTTTTCCTGTATGTAAAATTAATTATAAAATGTAAACATTTAATAAAATAAAATGTATAATAACAAACAAATACAAAATAAGAAAAAATTTCAAATAATATTAACCATTGAATAAAGAAAGTGCTTTACAAACAACAGACAAAAAATTCGCCCTAGTTTTCTTCAGAAATCTTTTCTAATTTCAAGAAATATTTTTCTCCAATTTATGGTTACTTGCCATCCATTTAAGAAAATTATGTAAGGGTTTTTAGAAAGGTCTTCCTTATATTTCAGAAAATTATTTTCTAAACTGAAAGGCGAGTCGTCATTGGCTTAAAATCGTAAGCGATTTTCTTGAATCAATATTCCTTTAATTATTTATATATTTTATAGTTTCCGAGATCTCGAAGTTTATACGGAAACGCTTGCTTCTACCTGTTACATACTCTTCAACAAATACAACATACCCTTTTACTCTTCGAGTAACGGGTATAATGATCCTAGAATTTCCTTATATTAGTAGTGAAAAGTGTCAAATGGACCTTATAGTATGACATATTGTCACTTCAAAGTACAGTTTGCCACTATTATAGGTGTTAATTTGATGATCTTCTGATTAAAGGTTCAGGAGGATGGGGCGATGCAGTAAATTTTAGTAAGTCCAACCA